ATTGGATCTCTTTCCCCAAGCACAATTTAAAAGGTGATGGGTGGCCCAATTCGCCACCAACGCGTAAATACTCTTTGTTGTTCCGAGTTTTTACTAAAAAAACGCATCACCATATGCAAACATATCTGAATTCTTTTGGCACAGAAACGAAACATCTCTTCCCAGAAACCTGGTTTGCCAACAAACCATATAATAAAATTTTGACACAAACTTGATAAATATTTTACTTGACTGCACACCAAGTTATCGTGGTAATTATTAAATAAATTTTGTTAATTGTGCGGTAATTTATACTTTGGTGCATCGGCTTTTTTGTAAAAGCTTAAGAAAAAACAGAATTGTTTCCCTCTTTCTCTCGATTTTAAGAAAAAAGACATTTTTTAAGAAAAAAAAAACAAAACTGATCGGAACAGGGCAAAACCTTGTTGAATATTCCGACAGTCCTTCAAAGTTTTTGAAACAGTTTTTGAAGACATTAATTGAAAAAAAATGATACACTTTTCAAACAAAAAAAAAGAACTCACAAATGAAACAACTTTCTAAAATTGAGACCAAGGCATCCCCGCACCGAGCGCCCATAGGTCATAATCGATTATATTGTCATAATATGGTCAGTATCTATAAAATCACAAAAAAAACTATTATAATCCATTAAAAATGGATTATAATCCTAATATTCTTCATGTCAATATAATCCTTTACAATCTGTTATAATCAATTAAAAATGATTTAAAATCATAATAATTTTATGCCAGTATAATCGACTATAATCGATTACAAACAATTATTATGGATTTTTTCGAGAGGTTAATGAAGAAATCTGCAAATTTTTTAAAGTTATCTCATTTCTTGTTTAATGCAGTTGCAACCTATTACGTTTCATGAAATCTTATAATACACATTGAAATTTTTATTTTTTGTCTACTTTTTCAATTCATCTCAGTTAACCTCCCTTACTTTAAACCCCCAACCACCAGTTTACACCCCCCACCCAGTTTATCCCCCCCCCCCCCCACCAGTTTACCCCCCCCCATCCCGTTTACCTACCCCTCAGTTTACCCCCTCCCTACCAGTTAACCACAACCGCCACTCACCCCCCTTATGGTTGAACATGGGGGGATTAATTAATCGTTGACTTTGGGGGAGGGTACTTAAGAATTGACACCCACCGCCAACTTACCCACTCCATGACAGTTTACAGCCCCCCAGTCCCCCTTGTTTACCCTCATCTAGTTGCCGAGGAGGTTAAAAAAATTTGAGAGGGTGACGTTGAGACTTCGCATTTAGTAAAAGACATGGCATGCAATTTGCAATTTTTTTGCAAAATTTGCAAAATTTCTGCAAAAAAAAATCAAATTTAGTTCTTAGAACAAAATTGATTATACTCGGATATATTTGACTATAATGAATTTTTATTTAAAACAAAACGATTATAATGGTTTATCTTGGCAAAAAATAATGAATTTTCTTGCTAAAAATAATGGATTATAATTGATTATAATGGATTATAATGGATTTTTTTTTTCAAAAATAATCGATTATAATGGCTAAATTATCAAATTTGTAGTCTGAATTTTACATCTGTAATGGATTATAGTGGACTATTTTTGTCTCGGGAGTCCATTATAATCAATTAGAGTCCATGGACGCTCGGTATGGGTGACTAGTTTTCAGATGATATGAAAATTTGAAACTGGTCTGGAGAAAAAACCACCCCGAGCACAGCGATTCCTTCTCTTTCTTCAAAAGTTTAACAGTCCGAACAAGAACACTGCTCGTATCAAGGAGAATCCCTGATTTTGTTTCCACCGCCTTTTGAGGCCAATGGAGTAGTGTTTGTGTTTAATAAGTGGTGATATTGTTTAAAAAAGCTTCGACACTAAAATTAATTTTCAGTTTTGTGAAACCAAGCCCCCAGACGCTATGTAAGGCTTAAAGCGATATATTTATATTTCAGCGCAGTATTCAAAAGAGCAAGCAGCATGCCTCATTTACAATTGAAAAAAATGATCCTGGGTTAAATCTCTTCTGACAAAGTAATAGCACGAAATTTATCGTGCGTTGATTATCTCAAAAGGGCCAAATTGATGGTTTTTAAATCCCCATAAATTTACCAAACACAAGTCACGAGCAAGTTATATTGTTAAATTTGGGCTCAAGATAACAATAATATTTGACTGGTATTAAAAAAAATTGTCAAGAATTGCTAGTTAAAAACTGAAGATAATCTGGAAAAATTTTTCGTCAGTTTCTTCGAAAATCGGAATAAAAAAATCCTATTACCATTACGAGGCCAAACTTTGCACTGGATAGGCGCGCAATTTTGTGTCTTTATATTCCTGGATTCAGAAACAAGTCTTTAAACTGCGGCTGTGACTTTATGAACTGCGAAAGTTAAAGTTTCCTAAGCGCACCGCAACTTTCGTTGTATTCTTTTTAAAAAAAATTCGTCTGAGTTTTTTAAGATATGTGTATGAGCCTGAACTTCCGTTGAGAAATAGTGATAATTTATCAATACCTTACATGGCAATACCTGAGCCTTAAGATTATAAAAAAACTGTTCAATCGTTGAGATTAGATAAGACTGTTGGTATACCAGGGCAAAACCATTGGAGTTCTGCTTTCATGATAAAACGTACCCGCATTTAAGAAAAGTGAAAACAAATCGATTATGATTATAAATAATAATAATTATAAATATAATCGATTCCCATGTTACGTTCAGATAAGACAATTGGACTAAAATGGATTTAAATCCATTTTTTCTTGCCAAAACAAAATGCATTATAATTAATTTTGAATCCATTATAATGGATTTTATAATAAGTATGAAATCACACTATAATGGATTTTTTTTCCACTTTATTTTTGTTTCGCGCTCAAACTACAAAATGATTCCGTTTAAGGGGGGGAGCTGAACCTAAACGCTGGAGGGTGGGGGGAGCTGAACCTAAACTCAATATGGCAAAATGATTCCGTTCAGCTCCCCCCCCCCCTCCAACGTTTGCCCCTTTGCTCTTCTTCAATCCCCCTAATTTTTGCCCTATTGCTCACCTCTCCCACTGAACCCCCACCCCCACCTGAACCCAACCCCCTTCCATCTGAACCCCGAAACCCCCCCCCCCCCCCCACCACCAGAACCCATATACCCCCCACCTGAACCCATATACCCCCCCCACCCCACCTGAACCCACTTACCCCCCACCTGAACCCACATACCCCCCCACCTGAACCCACATACCCCCCCCTTCACTTGAACACGTTAAGTTGGGGGAGAGGGGAGTTTGCTGTAAATGGGCAAATGCTAGGGGGGTAATGTTGAGTAATATAAAAAGGTAACAAAAATATCAAAGTTAGGTAGAAGAAAATTCAATTGAACAAGCAACCAACGTAACCAACTTTAATTTAAAACATAGAAAAGATTTTATGTGCGTTGAAATTTGCATCTCAGTAAAGTGGAAAAAAATAGATTATAGTTTAGTTTCATTGTCAGTGTCCACAAAAGTGAAAAAAAAATCGATTATAATGGATGAAAAAAGGATTTTGTTGCCTCGAAAAGTGGAAATATTATAATCCATTTTTAATTGATTATAATCGATTTGTTTTCGTTTTTGTGGACACTGACAAGGAAACTCAATTATAATCAATTTTTATTCATGGAACTCCAAAGCTGGGAGGTTAAAAAATTGCTATATTGATTGAAAAACAGTGAAAGAAAAATTTTATAAAAAAGGAATTTTTATTTGAAACAACCTCCACACAATTTTTAAAAAACAGAGTGATATATTTAGCATATAACCCCGCACTGAAGTTTCGTGGATAATAATCGATTATATTGGATTTTTATTGTCAGTCTCTACAAAAGAACAAAAATAATCGATTAGAATCGATTGAAAATGGATTATAATGATAAAATTTTTTAAGCAATAAAATCCCAATATAATCAATTATAATCGATTATTTTCAAAATAATTTAACAAAAGAAAAATAAACCATTTTAATCGATT